ACTTATGGCTCGTATCGACCATCAAGTAGCAGCATGGGCAGAAAGGTATCACCCTCCATCGTATAGGCCTGAAAGGGACCGCAACGTCCGGTTTACCGAGTCTACACCAGCACCTACACAGCAGCGACGACATAAGCGCAAGCGACAACCTACACGCACGGATGTGTTATGTCGTTGGTGTAGTCGTAGAGGTCACACAGAGCAGGTATGCTGTGCCAAGAGAAATTACATTTCTCAAAGAAATGGACAACCACAACACCCCAAGAGGCGACGGTCAAAAAGGAAATCCAAGATGCCATTTAGCCATGATGCTGCTCACGACCAGCCGACTGCTGGTCAGCATGTGTCAACATATGTAAGAGAACCTGATCAGTTTAGCCCTACTGTTGTTGGAACTAAATCTGAGAATGTGCGATCCACAAACTCAGACGCAAATACAATTCTTAAACTTCAACCCGAAAGTGTGACTAATACAGCTGGTCATATTGACCGTCGAAATATTAGGAAGAGATCAACAGTTAATTTTTCTGACACTGTTTTCCAGGATGGTTCTGTTAGTGTTGCACTAAAACAACCGGCAGTTTGTACAGATGTTGAGAGGAGAACCGTTATCACGACCCACACAGTAACACTAAAAACAAAGACACACGTTTTTAATTCTAAGGGAGAAGTTCTGAATGTTTTTGAGAAATCTGAAATTTTATTAAAAAATGAAAGTGATCCAATGGAAGAAGCCCATCAAACCACAGAGGATTCAATCCCTACCGTGGTTTCGCCACCACCAACTTCCAGTACAATGAGTACAGGGCACCTGAACGATATTAGCTCATCCTCACAAACAAGGACATTAAGTTCAGATTCAAAATCAGGCGTGTCCAGTTTAGATGCTATCCCATCAAGACAGGTTTCACCACAACGGCATGACACATGTGTACCTGTCATTACTGCTCCCCAACATTTATCACACGATGCAAACACGTGACCACAACGCAAGTCGTACCTCCAACAGTAGTACCTCCACCAATAGTACCTCCACCAGTAGTACCTCCACCAGTAGTACCTCCACCAGTAGTACCTCCACCAGTTATACCACACAGATCACTTAGCATCGCAAATCGAGAGAAACAGAAATAAGGCAGTGGCACAAAAAGACACTAGTCCTAGTTATTTATGCTAAGTGTTTTAATTTGTTTTTATATAATCGATAATTCTTTAAATTTTTATTACTAAGTAGTATGCCCAGCGGGGACGCTGGGATTTCAACAGTTGGGGTGGATGTGGCAATGTGCCACTATTTGCAACTGCTTTTAGGTAATATTTTATATGCGGCAGTATGGAACAGATAGGAATAAGAGAATCCACTCTCATAGTCATAGTGTGACTGCTATGGGTAACCCCAAGCACGTACACAGGCATGGTCATTTAAAGTAACCCACAGCCCTGTACTGGCCTTAAATTTTATTTTGGTTATTTACAAGCGGGAATAACCATCCCTGCCCCGGGGTTGACCCATGGTCAGCTCGGGACGCGGGTTCCCTGTGACTGTGTGGGGGGGGGGCGAACTAGGACTTGGAGTGTGTACATTTTTTTAGATTGTGGTGTGGAACGGATGCGTCGGGTCGATGGCAGGTGTGAGAGATTTTCCTGTCGGCTCTGTCAACGGATTGTACCTTACATTAAAAAGCTATAGTTCTCAGACCTGATTGTTTTATTGGATTTTATTTAAACTGTAAGCTACGTCACCACTCGGCTACATTTATTATAACAATTGTTCTAACATAATAGTGCGATTAAAATATTAGTTTGCTAGCTGGGCCGGCAACTTTTTGAGCATATTTATAAAGTAGGCCTAGGCTACATCTATCTGTTGAGGAAACATTTCGGAGATGCCGCAAGGGCGGATTATATACGGCAGTGGTTCCCAAACGTGTAAGTTTGGCGGACCAGTGAACAAGTTTCGAAATTTTCACAGGGATCGGTGCATGATTTATTTTTATACTTTTACTTCTATTTGACAATAACTATTTATGTCATGGGCACCGGCAGCGTTAGGCATGCGGACCGGTGAAGGTCCACGGACCGCCATTTGGGGACCACTGGTATAAGGCACATCTTTACTATTGTAAAGGTTAAATTACTAAGGTCAAGTAAATATAAATAACGTGCCATCAATAAATTACGTCACACATCTTAAACAACCGTTTGTCCGTTTGTTTCAAGAAATGACCAACTGATAGAAACCAGCAGTATTTGATTCGTCTCTCCTTTTATCATTTTTTATTTATTTGTTTATTTGTTTTAGTGAAATTCAATTTTTGTGTTTTTAACGCCTTTGTTTATCAAAATGTAATTTTTATTTTATTTAAATTTTAATCAAAATAATTTAATATTGCCATATTGCGATAATTACCGAACGGGCCGAACTTCATTGGTTGACGAACAGCTTTAGTTGTAACAGAACACTAACTTAAGTTATTAAAATGACGGATCTAAACAAAAAGAGGTTTTGATTCCCATTTCCATCTCTAGTACTCACCTGTGTTGAAATTCTGCAGATTATGATCATACATTTTTAGATAAAGCATGAAGAGATCACAATCGTTCCAATATCCCGTTTAGTTTCGCTTCAAAAGATATTATGGATGGGTGGGTGTGTATGGGGAGCAAAAAAAATCGTCCATAAAGTACGTTATGCTATTTTTAAAGAATCCCCCCCCCCCACGGTCACAATCTGTCACAAATCTGGACTACCCCACTCTTAAAGTACGTCACACTTTCAAACTAAAACATTGTTTAAAAAATTAACAACGAATTAGAATTTAATCTAAAACACAATTCACCATTCAACAATTAATTTAATAAAAGTGTCAGCTTCTGTCAGAATACATCCATCACAAAAGAAACTTAATCATCACTGTCCATTTAAGGTGTTATATGTATGATAAAATAAATGTAAAATTTGTGACGTCAAATATCTTTACCCTCCTCGCCTTCACAAACTCACGCTTTTTAGCCACCCCCTTCCCCACAACCTGAGCGTGACGTAGGCCTACTTAATGGACTGTCCCTTTTTGTTCCCCATACTCACCCATAGATTGCATAGGAGCAGTACGCTGTTGTATTGAATTAAAGGCATTAATAAATATAAATCTGGTCTAGAAAATTGTGTTTTTCTTCTGGTTGTGCTCACAAAATTTTTTGAAAGTGTGAAATACTGTTTCAAAAAAATGCTGCAGAGTGATACATATGACTTGAGTTCTTCAGAGCTTCTTAAATAGTTGATCACTGAGGCCATGGGCTTTTATTTTATCCACAACACTAGTCATGGTGTTTAATTTAATGACTGGTGCAAGCGATCACTGAGATTTCTAGTAACCAAAATGTAGGCGATGAATGACACAATGAAATCTAGCTACGCAACTGCTTTTGGCACATTAGTCAAGGTGGCATCTGCATGTTTATTTGTGCTTGTATAAATTAATACCTAAGATATTCAAAACTGTATTGTTTACATTTTTCTCTATTTTTCTGACATTTGTATTCTGAAATTATATAATATTAAAACTAAATTGTAATTAAATGATTTTCTTATAGCTGCTTCCTCGCCAGATGCTTTGAAATGATTCAAAAAAATAGATTACATGCTTACAACATTATCAATAAAAACTGATTAAAACGTTTTTCAACGGGTTCTGAATTATAATTTTTTTAAAATATATATTAATAGGAATTAATTTTAGCCAAAATCATTGTCTTAGAACAAATAGCTGTTTTTTTTCTTTAAAAAAAAAATAAAAATAAAAAACGGATTTAAGTTAGATTTTTTTATATGAAGAACAAGTGAAATGTATTGTTAGTTGAACCATTTCTCCATATAAATCAAATTACAACAAAATCGCACCATGTACTATCATTTTTTTCACAAATGAGTGATTCAAATACAATCAAATATTTTTTTTTTAAATTTTAAATTCTGATTTTAAAAGTTAGCAAAGCAAAAGTCACCAGCGCTCCCCAAGGTAATTCAACCGCACCTTAAAACAAAGCAACATTTTAAATATGAATTGTTCAACAAATATCGTAGCTAAGGTTGACCTGGGGGCCGATCTAAGCTTTTGTCGTCCCCCTTTCCTTGAAAAACTCAGCATTTAGAGGAGGATGCCGCCCCTAAATATAAGGTGCTTCTCTGAACACTATCCCTCCAACGTCGCTGTGTCTAACTAAAATAACTAAAACTGTAAAACTTCCTATGGAAATACTTAATTACCAGATAGGTTTCACAAACTGGGGTAGCCTACTCGCACCACCAAGGGGGTACAAGTAGGCATGTCAGGGGGTGGGATGAAATGGAATAAAAGAACAAAGGGGGAGCCATTAGCTTTTCAAATTATGATAAAAAGTATTATATACATATTTTTAAACTATCTTCTTTAAAATTTTAGTACGGTATAAAAATAAGTCCAACGGTTTTTTCCTCCATAAATTCCACATTCAGTTATTTTCAAAATTTTAAAATGCACTGTTAATTTTGTAGGAGGCGCGAGGCATAAGACTAATAGGGGTGGGGAATCAGTGCCATCTTAAAAGGCATGGACACACTAGGCACTGGCTCAAGGCCTCACATATCTAGGGGGGCTTCACTCTTCTAGGACACTCACTCTTCAAAGGCCCTCTCACTCGTAGGAGACTCCCACCTCTATATGCTTCATGCTGCCCATATTGAGTATTGAACGCTTTATTTAATTAAGAAATGAAAAAGGGAACAGTCTCTAGGCATGTTTTCAGAGAATTATTCTAACTATTTTCTCCTAATTTAATTGAACTTTTAAATATTTTGTATTTACAATTTCTGATCTTGCAAAATAGTAACAATAATTTAATAAATTAAGCTAAATTATACCATAATAATATTTAGTGAATCCAATGTTAATAAGTATATCTTTGATACAGGATCAAATATCTTTGATACAGGATCAAATTGGATACAAAATACATTTTAACTGTTTTATAATTAACAAAAGATGCCACAATCATAAATAAAAATAAAATAAATTTTGAAAATCAAGACTGCAAATTTGACACGACAATCAAGAAAATTGTAAAGATGGGCCCTGTAAAAATGATTTCTTGAATTGAACTATTTCTTTATTGAACTAATTCTTTATCTCAAAATTCTTGACAAAATAGAGTGGTCTGGGCTGATATTTCTGAAAGTATTTCTCCATGACTGGGACACCATCTTCTTTGGATGCAATGTAGAGATTATCAAAGTCTGCAAGTCCAAAACTGTCAGTGCCTATTGCAGCAAACCCATAGTCTGGACTATTAGGAACTGTGACATTGAAGATGCCTTTCCCATCAATAGCTCCTAAGGCATTTTCACCCTGTTTAGATTATAAGCAATAAAATCTAAATGCTACAGATGAAATAAATCCTCACTTTAACTTTGAATATATTTCAAGCAGATTTAAACAATGTGCACAATAAAATAAATACAATATTTACCTGAAGAAGTAACGAAAGTTTATGCCAGCCAGATTTTAGTGTTACATTCCCTTGCTCAATCACCTTTTCACGTCCTAGAAAATAAAAATATAATTGAAATATTAGAAAAACACAAATCTCATAATTTTGTAGTTGACCACCACATTAAATCCATCTTTAAATAGTAGCTCTAATTCTCAGTTTTCTTGAAATTCTCAATAACTTACTCAGATCATTTGCCAGTATGAAAGTACCATCCTGGAAGGCAAAGAAGAAAATTCCATGAGACTGATCTGCCTCACATCCACCTTTGGTCAGACGAGCAGCAACAAATACACCAAGAGTCGCATTGGCCTCTGGGAAATCATAGTCTACCTCAATAAACAGATCTTTCCTGTCAAATAAATTGAAAATTACAATTGGCTTGTTTCATCTCAATTACAGATGACTAAAATTGAATCTAAAGACAAGTATGAGAATTTTTATTACAATTTCTACTGTACTGAAAGTTAGATCTTAACTCATCATCACTAACATATAATTAAGCATCACAAAAAAAAAATATATAAGTTCAGAATAAGTGTTCAAATTAAAATTAAAAAGTATTTTTCTTGTACTTAAAATGCGAGATGCTTAAAAGTAAATAAACTTACCAACTTCTTTCTCCAATATAATTTACAGACTTGTTACTGGTATCAGCACCACACCAATAGATAGGCATTGTAAGGACCATTTGACGAACAACTTGGTTCTGTCCAACTTTGACAATCTCAAAAGAACCAGATTGCTGAGCGAGGTTAAAGGGTTCTTGGTACAAGGAATAGCCTTTGAAAAACAATATTTTATGTATGAACTGTGTCCATTCTTATATGTGAAAGATAAAATAATTAAAATGTTTAAAAATGGTTACAGGAATGAAAAACTGATTTTAATTTATCACATCTCTTCAAAATATAAGTAGAAAAATCCTTGGCCAGTGGATTAACTTACCAGTGTTGTAAAATAAATAATTTTGATTTGTTATGTTTAAAATTGCTTACTTTCAAAATCATCCTTGTATGGCAGCGGGAAAGGTTTTGGTGGAGGAGGATCAGGGTATGAACCTTTCTGACCTTTTTTTAAAGTGGTCAATGTATATACTTCATCAAGTTGTAAGCTAAGTTTGGCCTGGCCATTCACAAACTATAAGGGAAAAGACAAAGTTAATTGCAATTTGCCTTACACCTTCAAAATGAAACCTAAATTTTTTTAACTCTCAAGAGACTTGCTAAGATTATTTAAACCATTGCCTTCTTATATAACTACCTTAATATTGTCTAGCTTCTTAAAAAAGACTGTTGTATTTTCTTCATTTCCAAAACCTAATTTGCTGTACCAGACATTCATCTCTGTAATATGTGCCTGAAACAGTAAAAGAATTGGAATAACAAGAAATATGTGGGGAAAATATTTTAAAATTAAACTGGTATTTATTCATATCTTGAGAACATTCTATATTTATTTGCAATTATTTTAATTAGTTTTAATTTGAACACAAATCCCATAACTTCATCTGAGCATCATCTATATTAGATTACAGCTATCTCACACACATATATATATATCTCATATTTATATATATAAATAAATAAATACATTTTATGATGCTCAAATGAAGTTTGGGATTGGTGTTCAAATTAAAACTAATTAATATAATTACAAAAATATATCAAGGTTTCCAGATATGAATAATTAACAGGTAAAATGGTAAGCCCCCAAGTACATAAACCTTACCTTACCCACTTAAGTCTGAAGACTTGAAAATCAACTTGGCATATAAATAAAAAATGGACAACCAATGCAATGTAGTCTAACCAGTTATGTTAAAGCCAAGGGAATAAGTACTTACAAAACTTCCATTAAGTGTTAAAGTGACTTCTTCAGGTTCCACATTGAACCATGGAAGAGAAGGTCTAATGCATTCAGAATGGTCATGTGACTAGAAATAAATTAATTTCAACATTAGAAAGGAAAAACAACCCCACAATCAACAATTATTTCAGGGGATAAAAAAAAAATCCCATTAATTATTTTACATATTCCTCTACTCATAATTTAATTTATTGTACAATGTTTAAAATCAAATTCAACTTAATGAAATTATTTGGCTGTAAATTAATTTCTGGATGCTTTGCTAGGATTTCCTTAAGTCTATAATGGTTGATTTATTCCATAACCATGTTCTGGATACATTTCTACAAGGTTAGTGACCATTGATATGCAATTGTTGTAGGCTTATTGGTCAATCACGTATTAAGAACTTGGACTGAATATTTTAAAATTAAAATCTTCAAAAGGCTCACCATTTTCTCAATTATAATTGTCAGGTGTTCACCTGCAGGATCAACAAGAGACACATAGGATCCACCTTTTGATAAAAATCCAACTCCAGATCCATGGTTGAGGTAAGTCCAACCAAGGTCAACAAACTGTGTTGTGTGAGCTATTATATAAAAATTTTGGTCAGATGTTTGTAATATTGTGAGAAGGAATCATGCAAAGGTCTATTAAATATTTTGAAAAAAATAGTTCTAGCGGATTCTTCACAAATAATTTAAACTTTGTACCGGTACTTTATTAATTTTAATAATTGCTAGAAGATCCTCTACAATTATTTAATACAAAAATAAAAATCCTGTAAATTTGACCAATTAAATTAGTGTTAAAGTGAAGCAGGTCATAATTATGAATGTTAATTATAAGGATGTAACAATTTTATTAATTTATTGCAAGTTCCAAATATTAAATTAAAAAAACAACAGTAATTTCCCTTAGACGAAAATTAATGCACAGTGACTGACCATTTATCATAACATTAAGTGTAGTAACTGCTTGGTACAATTCTTCCAATTGGTTTGGAATGTGAAATTAAATTTTATTTAAAAAAACAAAAAACAAAACGGAATCAAAGTGATTTTAAGATGAAGTTCAAACTTGTTTGAAGCATATTTTTATTTAATTTTATTTGTAGGTCTACAATAAAAATTTTAACTAACCAGTTATCCATATGGGACCCTCTACCACATAGTGACCAGACCAGGGCTGCATGGCAGTCATCAAGCCATCTCTTGTGTAAGGAAGATCCTCATAATAACTTGCAATTAGATCCCAAGCGATTGTTCTGTCCAAATTATAGACAATAAGAAATCTCTTCTGCCGTTTATCAAAAAACTTACAATAATTACATTACGCTATTCAGAAAAGGTACAATTTAAAAAATATAATTAAATCCGAGTAAAGAAGACTTACGCAGTCATGTAACCATTAACATAGTTTTGATTTAATATCTGAGGATAAAAAAAATGGAAGAAATAATGTTATATGTATTAGGAACAATTCCTCCCATCTAATAAAAGAAAAGAATTTAAATCACAACAAAAAATATCCTTACACCAAACCAGCAACCATCAATACTGTAACCCCAGCCTGTAATCCCAATTATGTTTACCCCAGCCTGTAATCCCAATTATGTTAATCCCAGCCTATAATCCCAATTATGTTAACCCCAGCCTGTAATCCCAATTATGTTAACCCCAGCCTATAATCCCAATTATGTTTACCCCAGACTATTACCCCAAATTATTTTGACACCATCCCAGCATCCAATTTATCTTTACCCCATCCCAGCATCCAATTTTTATTTACCCCAACCCACCATCCAATTAGCTGTACCAACCCAGCATCCAATTAGCTTTACCCCAACCCAGCATCCAATAACCTGTACCCCAACCCAGCATCCAATTACCTGTACCCCAACCCAGCATCCAATTAGCCATACCAACCCAGCATCCAATTAGCCGTACCCCAACCCAGCATCCAATTAGCCGTACCCCAACCCAGCATCCAATTAGCCGTACCCCAACCCAGCATCCAATTAGCCGTACCCCAACCCAGCATCCAATTAGCCATACCCCAACCCAGCATCCAATTAGCCATACCCCAACCCAGCATCCAATTAGCCATACCCCAACCCAGCATCCAATTAGCCATACCCCAACCCAGCATCCAATTAGCCATACCCCAACCCAGCATCCAATTAGCCATACCCCAACCCAGCATCCAATTAGCCATACCCCAACCCAGCATCCAATTAGCCATACCCCAACCCAGCATCCAATTAGCCATACCCCAACCCAGCATCCAATTAGCCATACCCCAACCCAGCATCCAATTAGCCATACCCCAACCCAGCATCCAATTAGCCATACCCCAACCCAGCATCCAATTAGCCATACCCCAACCCAGCATCCAATTAGCCATACCCCAACCCAGCATCCAATTAGCCATACCCCAACCCAGCATCCAATTAGCCATACCCCAACCCAGCATCCAATTAGCCATACCCCAACCCAGCATCCAATTAGCCATACCCCAACCCAGCATCCAATTAGCCATACCCCAACCCAGCATCCAATTAGCCATACCCCAACCCAGCATCCAATTAGCCATACCCCAACCCAGCATCCAATTAGCCATACCCCAACCCAGCATCCAATTAGCCATACCCCAACCCAGCATCCAATTAGCCATACCCCAACCCAGCATCCAATTAGCCATACCCCAACCCAGCATCCAATTAGCCATACCCCAACCCAGCATCCAANCAATTATCCTTACTCCAACCCAGCATCCAATTAGCCATACCCCAACCCAGCATGCAATTATCCTTACTCCAACCCAGCATCCAATTAGCTGTACCCCAACCCAGCATCCAATTAGCTGTACCCCAACCCAGCATCCAATTAGCCTTACCCCAACCCAGCATGCAATTATCCTTACTCCAACCCAGCATCCAATTAGCCATACCCCAACCCAGCATGCAATTATCCTTACTCCAACCCAGCATCCAATTAGCTGTACCCCAACCCAGCATCCAATTAGCTGTACCCCAACCCAGCATGCAATTAGCCTTACCCCAACCCAGCATGCAATTATCCTTACTCCAACCCAGCATCCAATTAGCCTTACCCCAACCCAGCATGCAATTATCCTTAATCCAACCCAGCATCTAATTATCTTTACTAAAACCAGCATCAAATTATCTTTACTCAACCCATCAGCTATCTTTACTCAACCTAGCATCTAATTATCCTTACTCTAGCCCAGCATCCTGCTCCAACGTTGTCATTGAAAGTGCTGTAATCTTCTGCAGCCCACAGAGGCTTTTTTAAGCTAATAGCAAAGTCCCACGCCCCCGTTCCTGGGTAATGGCATCTTAGAAACAGATTTTATAAAGTAACATGTGATTGGTAAAATTCAACATTACCACAATAAAAAATAAATAAAATACAAGTCATTCTCATTTACCACAATTAAAAAAAAAATACAATATAAGCCATTTTGTATGCTTGTAATTAGTTTTTGTAGTGTTGTGTTTGTTTTAAATGTGGTGAATTATAGATATGTTTTTTGTTACTTTGTACCGCGCTTCGAGCCTTTGGGGATGAAGCGTGTTTTTTAAATGAACTTTATTATTATTATTATTCTCAATTAGCAAAGAACAAAAAATACAATATAAGCCATTCTCAATTAGCAAAGAACAAAAAATACAATATAAGCCATTCTGAATTACCATAGAACTAAAAATACAATATAAGCCATTCTTCAACAACTTAAGATCATTAAATTTCAGCAGGAGATTATGAAAAGATGTATAAGCAAGCCAAGTAGTGAAAAATTATGTTTTGGAAATGTATCAGTTGAGGATTACATTCTTGTAATGCTTAACTAAAAGCATTTACTTATTAATGCCTAAAAAGTAAGTAGAACTTACCCAAGTGCATGCACAATTTGTGCCAACTCTGTATCTTTAGAGATATCTGAGGCGATTTCCCATCCTTCATCAGCTGCAACAATCTTAACGTTTTGAAATCCTTTGCTGTCAAGAGTGTAACGCAGCGCCTGAAGTAATACATTAAAACATTTTATATTGTAAAAATTGGAAATCTTTGGGGTGATGAGGGCTCAATAGACAAAATATTGACATGAATTTTACGCAATATTTTTTCTGGCAATATTGCATCTGGCCTATGTAAAAAACCAAAAGCACCCAATAACTTATTTGTGGCTGGCCATCTAGCACCGACATCTGGTCATCTATACATCATTTTCGCCTATTTTATCCTATGCTCAGTGGATCTCAAAGTGAGCCTGCTCTGTTGACACTCTGCTCATGTGACAAGCTGCTTTTGTGGTACCCTACTCAACAGGTTACACCATGCTCTTATATTAAAACTTAGTTGTGTTATAAAACCAACTTGATCGAGCTCTGTCCAATTTACCCATTTTTTATGTCATCCCCCAGTGCGGGTTTTTACCCACTCAGGGTATCTGGGGTGCGTTGCGTACCCCTGCACTGCTTTTGATCAAAACATCCAAAGTTTTCAGAATTGCTCACCACGAAGCAGTCAAAAAGTTGCTTTCTTTTGCAGCAACCTAAATTTGCAAAGTTTTCACTCAAATTAACAAAAACAAATAGAAATCAATTATTTAACCCCAAAACATTATCCACATTTTCTCTGATTAAAAAGCCAAAATTATGAATTTATTGTATAAAAATGAAACATTTATACAAAATTTGAAAGTGAATTTTAAAATTCTCCATAAGAAGGACAAGGATTTTTATTATTTTCTTGCATCAAATTTATTTTGTACTTTTATATTTATATTTGTATTCTCAAAAGAAATAGATTCAATAAACCATTTCGAAATTAAAAAAGTCTTTAATTTGCTTCCTTTCAAATCAGGGGTAACAGCAGTGTAAAAGTATATATTTTGGTGTAGGCTATTGGCTATAATAGTTGGCGGACCCATTTTGATTATCTAACAAGACGTTTTTAGTCATTTATGATAATGCCACATTTGGTAAGGGTGCAGTAGGCTGCTGACCGTTGTATTAGAACTTTAGTTAATCATATTTGATTCTCTCCCCGCATGACTTGTCATAATGCTAAGCTAAATCTCACCTTTATGTAGCTGACTTCATAGTATCTCTCATTCCAGATCTGAAAAACATAAGTTTTAATTTTAATTATTATAGAAGCACTTTATATTTTTTTTTCACATTACCACAAAGAAGATTTATCAAATTAAATATGCAAAAAAATTCCGAAGAATGCCAATTATTTCACATTTACAACAGGTTAATCATTATGCACAATGTATATTATGAAATAGTCTCAATATGCAAGACAAAATAATTTAAATGCATTTTTAATCAAACTTTGTTATGTTACATAAAAAAAAATGCTACCTACCCCTAAGTAGTCAATTGTCAAATTGTAAGTTGCTTTGGCTCCACTAACCCATCTTACTACGTAGTCTGCTGTTTTATTGACATCACTATATGGATTATTTGCATCTTTTTTTAGCCAGCCAGGAAATGCCCACGGAAGACCAACAAGCTTAATGTTTGGATTTCTCTAGAACAAAGTATTTAAATTCCAGGTAAAAAATAAAATGTCTATGATTTTAAAACTAATTTCTGATAACATTTGAACAGTTCATTATAATTTAATGTTTCATAATTAGAAATAAAATATTTAATTTGGATTTTTATGAAAGGCAAATAGAAAAATATAAAAAACTATTTTAAAAAAAACACCAAAAAAATTATTAAAAAAAAGAATTAAAAAAAAAAAGTTCAAATTCTTTTGAATCACATTTCACCTTCTTTGCCTCAAGCATCAACCACCATTCATAACCGCGTTCATAATTTTCCTCCCAACTGTTGTGCATGTGAGATGCTTCAGTACCATCTGCATGGAAAAATCGTATTGTTTTGAGCATGAAAAATCGTATTGTTTTAAGCATAAAAGAACCTTTTAAAAATGGTATACATTTTAAGTGATAAATATGAACTAGTAAAAGTTCAGTAAAAGTATCATCAAACTCACCAGTAGTCTGAGCATCGCCACCAATCTCAACTTTTAAGATGTTAAGAGAAGCTCCAAAATTTGGCTGAGAAAACAATTTAAAATATCAAAATTATAAAATGAAGTTATTCATGCCATGTTTTCCCAGAATATTTATAGTTCAACTGTAACTTGGGAGTTCTTGTAGCAAAATATTTATTGTATTTAAGTTTAACATAATTTAATCCCAAATGTTAATTACTTTGAATTATTAGACAAAAGGCAAAATGTCAAACTGTAGCTTCTGTCCAATTTTTAAAGTCCTACCTTAAAGAGAAAATCAAGTATCTGATCCCTCTGTTCTTTAGGGTAATTAACCAAAAGTTTGGAAGTAGCCTGAAATGAGAAATATATATATATATTTTTACAGCGTCTTTAATTTTCAGTTGAATTGAATTTGTTATTGGACCTCGTTATTCACGCAGTGTTACTTCTCGTTAATTTGGGGGGGGGGGGGGGGGGGGGAAGACATGTTACCGTAAAAGTATCATTTTTTATCGTTCCCTATTTTTAAATCCCTTTTTCAACTTCGCTTTTGACAAAATCTTCGGACGGCTAATTGACCAACTTGCCATCCAGCTAGTGAACTGAAACTTGGCGCATAGACTCGTTGCCGATTATAACATTGTATCAAAATTTCAGCTCCACCCCCAACCACCCCCAATCAGTTTTTCCCGTTATTTAAGGATGGATAATTCCCGATAACTGCGCTATATGGGATTCTTTTAAAAAATGTATAGGAAGTGCTTTTTGGGCGTCATATATTTTGATGGGTTGCTTTTCTGAAATAGTTGGTGAAATAAATCTGCGATGTAAAAGTGGGTGCGGGTCATTAGAGTATTAATACAGTTCAGGGGTGTGAAAACATTTGTGGTTGCGAGCTTTGGGAGGGGGGCTCTAATAATTGGGATTCTTATAAAGTGCGTTACTTGTATGCATGTTGTCAAATGTTCCCCCCTTCCCCCATTGCTGGATATGACATTTTAGTAAGGATTTATGCGAAACACTTTGTTGTTTGATCTTTAATTTGATGATGACCTGAATCCAGAAATATTGAGTCGACGACTTAGACAAATAGTGGAAACGACCTATTGGCATTACAACCGGGCTGCGACGGTGGTATGTAGAATCAGGTCCGAATAACATTTGGTGCTTAGGTCAGGACAGAGGCAAGGAAAACTTAAGAGACCGTGTTGATTTCAGAGTTATATTAAAATGAAACAGCCCAGGGTGGACCGCAACCCCCCCCCCCCTCCCATACACACGTCTGCGTACGCTACTGGTTGATAATTAAAAATGTTCTAAAAAATGGTAATGGTCAGGCAAAAAGCTGGCCAGGCAAAAAGCTTTTTATTTCACACTAAAATTAAAATGAAACAGCCCAGGGTGGACCGCAACCCCCCCCCCCTCCCATACACACGTCTGCGTACGCTACTGGTTGATAATTAAAAATGTTCTAAAAAATGGTAATGGTCAGGCAAAAAGCTGGCCAGGCAAAAAGCTGGCCAGGCAAAAAGCTGGCCAGGCAAAAAGCTGGCCAACTTCCAAAAGTTGACAATATATCTGACATGTCTAATAAGGAAAAGTTGTCAGGAGGTGCTAGATTTTGAAAATTTTCCAATGAAAACGTTGGCCCCAAGTAATGAGCTTTTTATCTTTATCAACGCATGATTAGGCCTTATCTTCCAATATGGACATTTCTTATAAGGGAGGATTCCATCCTAATAAATGATCGCCGACAGCGTTACGCTACATTAAGCCACGCAATAAATACTTGGGTTCAGAAAATTAAGTTGCTCATGAAGTATGGAAGAATTATCTCCAAATGCTGGTTTTAAGACCAATAAAATATTCAAAGCTTCCAGCGTTAATAACTGACAATTTGAAGAATAGATAGCTAATTTCTTACACATATGCTTTGTTTTCACTGCAGGAAAATTTTTTTCCAGAAACGGAACATGCTATATTTCACTATAAAACAAGTAGTTTTTTCACATGTATTCATGCTTGAACCCACCCAAATGCCAGACTACTACTACTAATAAATGGACTTCCAACGACCTAGTGAGACTAGATATTTCAGAAACTTTGATAACTATATCTAGAAATCTTAAAATATAATTTCCAAGTTTATTGCATGACTCAGCGGTGTAGTAGAAGTGGGGGGTCCGGAGAAGGGCGTTTCGCCTGGTAACACCCTGGTCGACACTTTTGTCCTTGTGAGGGGCGGCATTTTCGGAAAATTAAGAGTTTTTCTCGAGGAAAAAAAAAGGAGAGGAAAAAAAAGGGGAGGGGGGGGGGGAATCTTGTTAAAATGAATGTTACTGTTTGTAATTCCATTTGTTAAACTTCGCAAGCATTTTGAAATGACAGATAAATTAAACAGCACCGGAATTTTATTTATGTAAAACTTGACCTAAGAAAATGGGTACTTGTTCTACATCTATAGCGCTTTGCCTTCTGGTGTACCATGGGATACATGGCTAGCAGTAGCATGTAATAGCTTTCAATTCAACCTTTTCAAATTGAAAACACGAAATATAATACCCATAGTCTCAAATAAACACCCCCACCCCCAAAATTTTTTTTGAAAAAGGGTTAGTACTTACCCCTCCACCACTTATACCACCAATACCATCGAATGCTCGTCCCAATTCATTTCTGTCAAAGACGATGCCCTGTTGTCCAGTAGCAGACCAGGCGCATATTCCAAGGAAGAAGGTAATCAAGAGTTGTGTCATTTTTCTCTTGTATCCGACAGGTGGAGATGCGTACACCAACCAAACAAATTACACACAAAAATACGTTTGTGAGGTTTAACTTTGAAGTTAAACCTAACCCCCCTTTGAGTTTTTAATGAGAAGCTCTAACAAACAAGAAAAGAAAACCGAAGACTGAGGTATCATGCATCGGCCGAAGCGATCTGGTATTTATAGGTGTGGTGAAGGTGTGCGAACCAATCACGAGAAGTTCACAACAATGACCTGTTTACCTGGTGGTCAGCTGACGGTGATAAAACTCCCGCACGTGAGTAAACAAAAGTTGGCCACTGTTCAAGATCAACGTGCGATTTTTGAAGCTGTGTCAAACCCCCGGGCAGCCTTCCAGTCCAATTGTGTAGGAGAGGTGGGGTGGAAGGGACGGGGGTGGGGGGGTGGAGGTGACAGGTTGTTTGGGTTAAACGGTCATGACTGGCATGGAAGCGATGTTTTAATTACAATGACTTCTCGCTTGACTGATAGTCTACTTCAGGGGTCGGTCAACATGGGTAAAAACCCCAAAAGGGGTAAAAGTGAAAATCTTGGGGTAATGAAGTCCCAAGGGAAATAAATAAAATTATATTCAAAGCGCTTTACTTTTTACGAAATAATTTTCTTCCGATACCGTTTCATCTGAGCAATTTAATAGAGAAACTCACCAGCAGGTTGTGGTTGCAAGTGCTTCGGTAGCTATCGTAACTCACCAGCGGGTTGTGGTTACAAGTGCTTCGGTAGCTATCGTAACTCACCAGCGGGTTGTGGTTACAAGTGCTTCGGTAGCTATCGTAACTCACCAGCAGGTTGTGGTTACAAGTGCTTCGGTAGCTATCGTAACTCACCAGCGGGTTGTGGTTACAAGTGCTTCGGTAGCTATCGTAACTCACCAGCAGGTTGTGGTTACAAGTGCTTCGGTAGCTATCGTAACTCACCAGCAGGTTGTGGTTACAAGTGCTTCGGTAGCTATCGTAACTCACCAGCGGGTTGTGGTTACAAGTGCTTCGGTAGCTATCGTAACTCACCAGCGGGTTGTGGTTACAAGTGCTTCGGTAGCTATGGTAACACCCGTCTTTTGTATTTGTCATGCACATAACACAACATTGATAAAAAGTACCCACGTTGAATGTGAGATGGGGCATGCACTTAGCACAACATTGATAAAAAGTACCCACTTTGAATGTGAGGTGGGGCATGCACATAACACAACATTGATAAAAAGTACCCACGTTGAATGTGAGGTGGGGCATGCACATAACACAACATTGATAAAAGTACCCACGTTGAATGTGAGGTGGGGCATGCACATAACACAACATTGATAAAAGTACCCACGTTGAATGTGAGGTGGGGCATGCACGGAGTCGAAACAAAATTTCCTTTTTTTTTTATTCTTGGCTATGAGAAATGACTAATCATCACAATTCATTGATTACTTTAGAGGACTTTGAAATATTTACTTTATATTTGATTAATAATGCCAGCGCATTGTTACGTCTCACGCATAAGTTTGAGTCGAGAGCCTTTTTGAGAACCGTCGACCTTGGCGTTGTTTAAAAGGGGGAGTGAATTGTAGTTTCGGGCGAATGTCACGTGAAATGAAAATAGCCAAGTAATTGAAGTAAGTACTAGCATTCCGTCATAGTGAATACAGTGGTAGGCTGGTTGGAAGTAGGTCACGAAAGGAACAGTTTCATTCCCTCGGGCGATCCCTGACCCCACAGCTAAGGGATATTTCAAGCTCAACTCCTTTGTCATTTGTTCGTTACAGAAGTAGAATGATGTCACACGATAGAGTGCGTGTGAACTCTAATATTAACATCTCAAGAGACAACTTACCTTACCGACGATTCTCAAGCTGAGTTGGCTGTTGAAAAATGATGAACTTGCACGCATGTGGGGTCGAAGTCTTAGAACTGGGTATTCTTCGTATTCGGACAATTTATACATTCAATAAATACAATGACATTGATTTTTATTAATATAATAAATAACAATTCTAGGCACACACACACACACAAACAAACATCCTGATACACCACATTGGTCAACAAAGATGTCAAGAGGAAAGAAATCAGTGAAGATTTGAATTACTAAGATCACGAGGGCGATCATTAACGTAAAGATTTTCGTAGGCCTCTGCATATAACTTTTTATTTCACTTTTAACTCTAAAAAATTCTTTGATTGATGGTGGGATGGGTGTGTGGTCAAATCACGTGTCATTTGATGGTGGGATGGGTGTGCTGTCAAATCACGTGTCATTTGATGGTGGGATGGGTGTGCTGTCATATCACGTGTCATTGGATGGCGGGATGGATGTGCTGTCAAATCACGTGTCATTTGATAGTGGGATGGGTGTGCTGTCAAATCACGTGTCATTGGATGGCGGGATGGATGTGCTGTCACATCACGTGTCATTGGATGGCGGGATGGGTGTGCTGTCACATCACGTGTCATTGGATGGTGGGATGGGTGTGCTGTCACATCACGTGTCATTGGATGGCGGGATGGGTGTGTGGTCAAATCACATGTCATTGGATGGTGGGATGGGTGTGCTGTCACATCACGTGTCATTTGATGGTGGGATGGGTGTGTGGTCAAATCACGTGTCATTAATGGTGGGATGGGTGTGTGGTCAAATCACGTGTCATTGGATGGTGGGATGGGTGTGTGGTCAAATCACGTGTCATTTGATGGTGGGATGGGAGTGTGGTCAAATCACATGTCATTTGATGGTGGGATGGGTGTGTGGTCAAATCACGTGTCATTTGATGGCGGGATGGGTGTGTGGTCAAATCACGTGTCATTTGATGGTGGGATGGGTGTGTGGTCAAATCACATGTCATTTGATGGTGGGATGGGTGTGTAGTGTGGTCAAATCACATGTCATTTGATGGTGGGATGGGTGTGCTGTCAAATCACGTGTCATTTGATGATGGGATGGGTGTGTGGTCAAATCACGTGTCATTTGATGGTGGGATGGGTGTGTGGTCAATTCATATGTCATTTGATGGTGGGATGGGTGTGCTGTCAAATCACGTGTCATTTGATGGTGGGATGGGTGTGCAGTCAAATCACGTGTCATTTGATGGTGGGATGGGTGTGTGGTCAAATCACATGTCATTTGATGGTGGGATGGGTGTGCAGTCAAATCATGTGTCATTTGATGGTGGGATGGGTGTGTGGTCAAATCACGTGTCATTCCATCTTAGACGGCTAGAGTTCAATTCCCCGCCTGACTTATTTTTCTCCTAACACCACCCCACACCCAACCAATGAACAGTATGAGTAATTGTGTTATTTTCTTACCTGTCTTAGTTTTGGTAGCTAGGTAAATTCAATAGGCAGAAGGGGGTACATTCCCACCCCCCCCCCCCCCACAGCTTGGAAGCAACCGTTTCATCCCCCCCCCCCCCCCCAACTGTGTAGACGCCCTTGAGCTGTGCTTCGGCCTCTCCTTCGACCTAAATTTGAAAAGCAATTGTGACTGAACTATCTATCAACCTAAGGCAGGGGTTCCCAAACTTTTTCCAGTTCCGATACCCCACTTGCATCTAGGTTTGACAACGGCGCCACGTGCTAAAGTCTAGCAAGAGCATAGCGAAAAAGCCATTTTCCCCTTGGCTATTGAACAAAACCAATTCATTTTAAACTACAAACAAGGAGAAACACCTCAGTAAGTTCCTTTGACTTAACAACATGATATTCAGTTGAAAACTATAATTAAATACTAACACCGCAAGAAATCGATAGCTGTTTATATACTACCACAAGGTACAAGTTTATTTCTGTGAAGTACTTAAACAATAGAATTTTGAATAGATCAACCCAATTATTATAGAGCGGCTTACAGTCAGCCCTTGTATCAGTTATTACTGTGTTCCTGGTTCGCATGAAGTCACTGTAAGACTCTTAATTTTACTTAACATTTTTAAATCACTTCTCGGCGCCGTTGTCCGGAAGCCGCAATGCGCTGTGGAGCCTGTGCCGCAATGCGCTGTGGAGCCTGTGCCGCAATGCGCTGTGGAGCCTGTGCCGCAATGCGCTGTGGAGCCTGTGCCGCAATGCGCTGTGGAGCCTGTGCCGCAATGCGCTGTGGAGCCTGTTCCAACCAGCTTTGCTAAATGTATCATCTTTACTTTCCTATGTAATTTGGTAAGCTTACCAGTCCTTCACAAATACACTTCTCTTAATCTTATTTTGGATTGATTGATTTGTTCTAGGTATAAATCCTCACTAAATAATGCAATCGAAAGATATCTATGTAAGGACACCGATTTCAAATGTTTGAGACTCACTGGATGAGCCATGTTTGCCTGGGGGTCCTCTCCTATCAGGGTCAAGATATATACAAGTTAAGATGCAACATTACATGATCTCAAGGCCAACAGTCGCTTGGGGGTGGGGGTGGCTGGACTTGATAAAGATTAAGGCCATGGTTACCATTGTCCAACACGACCATGGACATGATGAAAGAAAGAAATCACCACACAGACTTTCATTCAGATTTGTAGCGTAGATGACGCAATATAGGTGACATATTGATCAGACATTGGTGTTGGTTGTTAAGGTTTAAGGTCCTTGAAGTGTTTTGTCAACGAGTAATGCCCGCGTCAGGTGACATTAGTGTTGGTTGGGGGGGGGGGGCCTCATTCAACATGACGTCAAGCGTCTTTTTTTGGGGTGGGGGGTGTCATGTATGGTTGGTTCCATTTATACACGTAACACTAGTTGTTGTATGCCCGCGTCAGGTGACATTAGTGTTGGTTGGGGGGGGGGGGCCTCATTCAACATGACGTCAAGCGTCTTTTTTTGGGGTGGGGGGTGTCATGTATGGATGGTTCCATTTATACACGTAACACTAGTTGTTGCTTTGTTCACTTGGTCCCCAAATGTTTCACTACACATGACTATACGGCAACCAAGTGTTTCTCTAAAGTTGTACACACGCAGTTCACCTTTCACCCCGATACTGCTTATAAATTAAAACAACAAAAAACGCTTTCTTCATTAAAAAACAACAACATTTGATAGAATATGTTGTCATCGGCAATGAATCTTTGTGCTAAGTTTCAGTTCGATAGGATGACGGGCAAGGCGGTCTTTACAGCTGCGGAGGCCCTGGGCACAGTAATGCACAGAGGCCCCTAACCCTTTATATATTCAGGACCGTGCGGAGGAGGTGGGCAAAA